TTTTTTTTTTTTTTTTTTTTTTTTTTTTTTTTGAAAACCTGCTTTGCTGTTTAATATTAAGCATGAGGGAGGATAAACAAAAAATAAATGGAACTGGAGAGAGGGTGGATTTGAATTGTGGTTTGATAATTATAATAAGATGAATTGTGTTGTAAGGTACAGTATTTTTTCCAGTTCCAGATCTCTTTCTATTGGATTTAGATTCTCTGATAGTGTATTTGACGAAACAATCAGCGTCGAAGAGCATTTAATTTTGGCAAGCCAATTCATTTCAGGCTGGAAATACATTTCTAGTTGACGATGACGAATTAGATTTATTTCTTTTTGGTAATTAAAGAATGATTGCTACTTTGGTTTGCTTAAACTGAGAAATGTAGTAAAAATTAAACAACGGGCAAATAAGTTGTTTAACGACGTTTCTGGAACACCTTCTTGGTATTTGTTGTCTGGCTATCTACTATAATGGTTCTTTTATAAAACAACTTATTTTAATAGCTGCAACAGCAATGACAAGATCATTTGTAGTAATGGTGGCAAAATCAAGAAAGACAATAATAATTTTAGTTATAACATCCCCACTGAGTTGGTGTCTTATCGCTACTTGGATCTTTTGTTCCATTCTGACGTACTGCTTATTAGACTTATTTAAGTAATTATTATGATTATAGTGATAAAAAGAAGGTTGTATTTAGTTACTTGAGGGAAATGAAGCAGAATTTAACTCAAAATTAATTAATTTTTAAATTATGAATTTTTATAAAGATTGCGTGATCTAAAATGTCAATCTTCTAAATAAATTTTTGTTTGCGATTTCAATTATTTTTCGGCTAAGCACATAATTTTGCAATTCTTTGAGAAACAATTAAAAGAAAAAAGAGGGGAAAAAGGAGAATAAAATAAAGGAAAGTTGGTTAATCACTGACAGTTTGAAAGTCGTATACTTCGACAAAGAAAAAAAAGTAATTTCTTTTTTCATTGTTAACACAGATTTATTAAATTTGTTTTCTGAAGTTTTAGATGTACGTCACTGTTTCTCTTCTGTTTTATGGAGGTCTGTTCACGTTGTTCTTTGGTCAAAAAAAAAAAATGACACAGATGGGACTTTGCCAGAAAAATTTTTATATACCGTTAATATAATTGTGAGACTTATTTTTTTAAAAGAATTTTAGTTGTGTTAATATGGTCAACAGCGAATGAAATAAATATAAAATGCTAAACATTTATTTGGATTATTTCCTCTTTCTTTTTTCTTCTGGTGCACTTGTCGAGTAATTTCTAATATTTTTTGAAATTTGAAAAGGAAGTCATTTTATAGGGCCAAAAAAAAAGATGTGCTTTTTCTACTCATTCATTTAGATGAGTTTTTTGCATGTTTTTTTTTTTTTTTTAAATGGCACAAAAGTTTTTTATCTTTTTTCTTTTTTTTCAGAAACGCAGTTAATGTCTATTTAATTATTCAAAATGCTGACTGTAGTTACATTAAAAAAGTTGCCTTTATCTTACAGATTATTACTATTTTTAACCAACTTATAGAGTTTTAAAAGTGTCTTTGAAATTTTACCTTATTATTTTTACTGTACTGTAAACGTGAATGCATGCAACTAGAAGACGTCATTTGCACTAATTAAAATCACCAAACACTTTAGTGATTAATTTTTTTTGCTGAATGATGCCATTTAAAAATTATTTTAGGATATACTTATTGGATTACTACGATTGCGAAAGTGTTCTGATAAAGTGCATCGAACAGAATTACAG